AAAAAAAGTATAATCCGAATAAGTAACAAAAGAATAAATCTTATAAAAAAGATAAAAGTCAATGTAAATGTTGGAATTGTGAAGAAATATGTCATAGAAGTCCAGATTGTAATAAAAAGAAAGTTAGAATTTTACAGACGGAATATTTAGAAATAGAAGATGAATTGAGTGAGATATTTGATATTGAACAATATTATAATCAAGAAGTATATATAAGTGAAACATATTCAGAAGAGAATGAGTCAAAATTCGAATAAAGAAATTGAAGAAATAGAAAACGATAATATAGAAATGCAAGAATATAAAGAAATAGAAGGATATAGATTAAAAGTAACATTTGATAATAATAAATTTAAGAAATTACAAAAATTATCTTTAGACTTAAAAATAGAAAAATAGGAAATCCTTGATCGAATTTGGAAAAGTAACAATATTATAAAAGTAAACAAAATTTACATATCCCCACCCACCAAACCCATCCATCCATACCCAACAAATCATTTTCAACCCATTGTTCACACCCGATGACTTTTCATGACGCAACCACTCCGACGACTCTTGACGGTGCACCCACGCTGACTACTATTTATAATGCAACAACGACGCTCCTTCGTACTAGGCACTCAGAGCTACCTCTCGGGACTATCGACGCATTGAAATGTCGACGGAGTCTCGAACACAATGACTGTCGGTGCAACAGCGGCTCTCACGTCACACCTCCACTGTTGCACACTGAAACAAAAGACGATTTTGTACAACCTGTGGAAAGGCAATTTGGGGAAAGGCAATTGCGATTTGGTGTTCGACGATCGTGACAGCCCATCGCCGTTACTTCTAATCTGACAATGGTTGATCCACAATAATGCAGATATGTTATTTCCTTCTCTCTCTTTTTCTTTTTTTTTTTTTTAATTTCTGAGTTTGATTTCTCCAATGGTTATGGTAGTTTGTGTGGCTAATGGTTGTTGTGGTGGTGGTTTCGTGGTTATTGTGGGTGTGGTGGTGGTTTTGGAATTGTGGGTGTGGTGATGGTTTTGGAATTGTGGGGTGATGTTGAGTTGATATTAGTGTGGTGGTGGAGGTAGCGACGATGGTGGAGTGAGGAGGAAGAGTGTGATCATTATTTGGGTGTTGTAACCATTGGTTAATTTGTGACCTAAAAGAATGTGTGTTTGTGACTAAATTTAGAATCGTAACGAGAATTTGGTAAGTTGTGACCAAATATTTCGATGATTTGTGATTGAAAAATAACTTGTGACCAATTAATTCAATAATTTGTAATTAAGAAATAATTTGATAATTTGTGATCGTGAAATAAATTGCAACCTATAAAATTTATTATTTGTGATCAATAAATAAATTGTGACCTATTAATTTTTTAAATTTGTAATCAATGAACAAATTGTGACCTATGAAGTTCTTGATCTCTCACCGTAAAATAATTTGTGACCTATAAAACTTTTATTTGTAACCGAAAAATAATATATGGCCAATAAATAAGTTGTGACTCATAAGTACGTACATGTGACTATTAATTGTATAATTGTGACTTTAATATATTTAATTACTAAAATATATTTAATTATTTATTTATCACTTGAGTTTTTAATTTTGAAACTTTAAACGTGAAATGGGAATTGGCAATAGTTAATACTTGAGTTGTAAATTTTTCAGGGAAAATTTCATATTTAAGAGATTAAATATGATCCATTTCAAAATTAAGAAACAATATTTAAAATTTCAAAAATCAGATATTAATTAAATTTTATTTATGAAATAATTAATAAAAATATATTTTATTAATTAAATATACGAATGTCACAATTGCATACAATTTGGTCACAAATTACTGAGTTAATTGGTTACAAATTACTTCTAAGTCACAAATAAATTTTTTTATAGGCAACAATTTATTAATTAGTCACAAATTTTATAGGTCACAACTTATTTAATGGTAAAAAATTATTAAATTAATTGGTCACGACTTAATAAATTGTAAGTCACAATCATATTTTTTAAAATTTTATTGGTCACGAATTAATCAAATTATTGGTCACGATTAGTCAAATAATTTGTCACAAACACTCTTCATATCCCACCCACCCACCTACCTACCATCACCACCACCACCACCACCGTCGGCTCTCACCACCTGCACTACGACTACCAACAAAAACCACCCAAAAAATGTCGACACCAGATTGCAATCCAATTTGCCAATTTTTTCTTGAATCTCATCTTGGTAGCAGAAAATGTAATCACACACGATGAGATCACAGTAAGTTTGACTTGTAAAAACTCTGACACCAACAATCAAAAACTCTGGCACTAGCTATCAAAAATTCCGGCACCAGATAATTATTTGTATTCTCTCTCTCATCTCTTCACCCCCTCTCCAATCACTTTCTCAAAACCCTATTCAACAAACAATCCCTCTCGCCGACAACCAACTTCGTCGCCAACAACCATTCCCACCACTGCCAACTCTTCATCGGCACCCAGTAGCAACTGCACACTATCCTTATGATGCGTAGCACTCAACGCTCCTCGCGCCGTTGAACAACTCCTCGCCGATATCTAAACAGCAAACACACATTGCCCTTCTGAAGTGCAGCGCTGCAAAGCCTGACACAACATGCATATTGTGTCAAATTCTTCATAGTCGCAGTGTCACGTCTATGCACAAAGCAGCGGTGATGAACGCCCCGCCATCGCTACTTCATACGCAGCAGCGATCTGTTCGCTACATCGTGTGCAACTGCGACTGTGGGTTTGGGAATATTTGTGGTGGTGGCATCGACGACTACGGGTTTGAAAATTTTTTTTGGTGGTTGTGGTGTGGTAGAGATGGTGAGGTGGTTGAGTGTGGTGGTGGCGATGTGGTGCCGACAACAATTCTTTTCAGCGATGGCTAGAGATAGGAGAGAAGGTGTGATAGAGAGATGAGAGAAAATGAAGATGATGAAAATATTAGGATTTTGGTGTAGGTGGTTGGGAATGGGTTAGGGGAGATGAATATGTATATTTAATTTTGTAATTTAATTATTGATATTTAAAATTTTAATTATCATCTGATTTTTGAAACAAAAACTTAAAAATACATCGGTAATGGAGTGTTACGCCTTAGAAAGAAGCCCCTAGGCGAGCCAATATCTTGGATATCTGACCAAGGAGCATCACGTTGGCTTTGAAGCAGCTGTATGCTCTCCGAGCTTCCCTTCATTCGCTTCACGGGAGCCGCACAACACATAGTTGGAAGTCAGAAGGCCCATCCCCTAGTTACAAAAGAGTATTTAGATTGATGGTCAAGAAGATTCATGAACTTTTCGAGCACCAATGTTACTATTATAAAAAGTGTAAGCTTGTGTTTGACCCCCATTATTTGTTTTAAAGAAATTATATTTCTTAATTATAACCACACATTTTTCAAATAAAATAATATTACACAAAATTCTAGAACTTTTCATTACTTTTCAATCACATGCTCTTCTATCAATCAGTATTTCTAAATTTATAATACACCCAAAATGGGTGTCAAACACTTAGGATAGGATGTGTTTGATGTATATTATTAAGGAATGAATGTATTTTAAATAGTGATATGATAGAAAATATGTGGTTAAAAAATAAGAAAAAGTTATTGAAGTGATGAAAAATATTATTTTATTAAAAAATGATTGGTTGAAAATGAGTTTTGAAATAATATATTTTGAAAAAAAGTGTGTCAAACATGGCTAAATCTTAATTTTGAATTCCATGAGTTGTAATTTGACTAATTTCCATATAATTTAAAAATAAAATATGCCCCGTTTGGTGCATATTTTAAAAGTAAGAATGCATTTTTATTGTTGATGTGATAGAGAATGTGTGGTTGGAAAAGAAGGAAAAGTTAATGATATGATGGAAAATATTATTTTATTGAAAAATGTGCGGTTGAAAATGAGTAGAAGAATAAGAATGATGAAAATAACGCGGACCAATTAAATCCGAGGGTATTATAGTATTTCAACGGAAGTCTGTAAACCCCAATTGCATCTCCGATTCGATGTGCCCAAACCACACCAGCATTACTGATCGGCTCTTAAATTTTTAGAGTAATTGCTAACTGAAAATGGGTTACACCAAAGAGCAATTGCTGACTTTCTTACAGGTTTTTTCCCTTTATTGTTTGTTTTCAATATTTTTCTATTACATCGTATAATTTCTATATAAAATTATGATTCAATTAAATCATTATACTGGTTTTTTTTTCTTCAGGAGCTTCAAATAGATTTTGCCCAGTATGAGCATCCTGTTGTTTTGACAGTTGAAGCTCAGGTAAAAGAATTATAAATTTGAAGTCTTCCTCTTTTTTAGCGGAGTTTGAAACAGCCCTTTGTCTTGTATCAGGCAAAGTATGTCGGGCACATGAAAGGTGCATTGAGTAAAAATTTATTCTTAAAGGTTAGTTGGTTAACGGAGAGGATGCAATAGAATTATTAATTATGTGATTGTTCATATTTCCAAAAACAGTAACTTTCATGTGTTCTGTTTCGTCTATGACAGGATAAGAAACACAGATTTTATATTGTTTCTGCTCTGGCGGATACAAAGGTGGATTTGAAAGGTATATGTACTTTCAGAATTTTATAGCTTCACCATTTTTTTCCCTAAAGGGTTAGCTTATGTTGACACTGACTAGCAGAATCTCCTGAACTAATAATATTTTGCCTATTTAAGCTTAAATATTTTGCTTGCTAATGTATATTGTATCCTGGCATTGATGCTGAGCAGTTTTGTCTCAGAGGCTGGGTCTGGGGAAAGGAGGTTTAAGAATGGCTCCAGAAGAAGCACTTGGCGAAATGCTTCAGGTTTCTACTTGCCTTTTTGTTTAACTTTTTCTTTCTGTTTATTACATCGCGCCAGACTAATTTGGGCAATAAGAATCAGAAGACACTAAGTTCCTGTTTGGTACCGATTAAAATTTTTTTCTTTTTCTCAAAATTAAATATGTTATTAAAAAATATGAATAAAATTACTTCAAAATTAAGAGCCCGTTTGGTACCGATTAAAATCCAATTAAAATTGAAAATATAGCCGTTATTGGGCCCCACTCGTCTAATAAAAGTCAACAATAACGGCTAATTTTTCAATTTTAATCCGATTTTAATCTCTACCAAACGGGCTCTAAAGATTCTGTCCACTTCTACTGTTTGAGGCAGTCAAGAACAATTCTTTGAATTTTGAACCAAGTTCAGGGAGCATTTTATACAAGATCAAAGATCGTAAATGCTTAACTGAGATTATTGCTAATGCAATTTCATGCCTTTTCCTTTAATCAACTCTTACAAATATTAATTGAACTTTGTCTTAATATTAATTCTTGATTATATTTCTTTTGAAGGTTCCTCTGGGTTGCGTTACTCCATTGGCACTTGTAAATGATTCAGCACGGTATGAGCCTTAGGTTCCTCTATGGTCAATATCTAATTTGTTTAGATTATTGTTGTCTGTTGATATACTTTTTCTTGAATGCTAGAAAAGTTCATTTTACTAACTGTTTCTTTCATTCTTTTGCAAAGGCATGTTTGTTTGTTGTTAGATCAAGGATTCAAATCTCAAGAATGTTGTTTCTTCCATCCATTGTCTAATGACATGTCTATTGGTGAGTGATCAGGACTGTAATGGGATAAATTATTATTATTATTTTTTTTCAATACAGGCTTTTATTCTTACTATTCATAAGTGACCACATGCAAACAATGAGTGCAACTAGTTGCCACTTGTACAAAAAGCTGATGCTTGTACAACTATTCATTTTTCTTATCGAGTACATTTCTTGGAGTATTTATGTTGGTCATATCTATTTGGAATGATGCTGCCTGCACTGAATAACAAATTGATTAAAGCGACGGCTTTGAAAGTGATATTATAGACATAATTTTTCTTGGCCATAATTTATCAGATTTCATGAAGTTCTTGTGAGTACCTTCGCTAAGAGTGTTTTCTTATTCATTTTTCCTTCTTGTTGGGATCAGTATAGTTGGCATTTGCTTTGATGCCTTGAGTGGTATGATTTTATTGCTGAAGAATAGCCATTTTATGTGAGGCATGCAAGTGGGAAAATTTGAAGTGGTCCACTCTCAGCAATAGTTTTTCTTGTTAAAGTGGTTAAAATCAGTTGGCACTTAGCACCATCCAAAAATTTCTGTCTGATTATGATTTCTTTCTTCTCATGTGCTGCCACAGCTATTAATTCCCGTGATCTCGACAAGTTTCTGAATTCAATAGGAAAAACCCCGGCGTACATTGACCTGGAGGTAATTACAAGATCAGTTGGTTGGGTAAATAATGAATATAGCTGCTTAGTTAATGGTGCTTTGATTTGAACTTCTTGTGTTACATTCTCAGGCAAACCCTCCAGTAGGGAAGGATCAACCTCCTGATTTGGCTGGTCTTGTTCCATCAGACGCTGTAGTCTTGCCTGACCCTCCAGAAAAAACAGCATCTTCTCAAGGTCCTGAAAAGAATCATATCTCACCGAATAACAAACCTACAGCCACTGCAGGTATAGTTTTGCAAGAAGTCAATTGCTTATTTTTTATTTCAATACGTGATAATTTAAATATGCTTGAGTTTTAATGGTCACATTGAGGCAGTGTTTAGATAGCAAGACTTGAGGTTCATAATGGATTTTATTCATATTAATTCATATATGAATATGTGCATGTTTCTTTTGTTACTGAACCAGCATACGTACCTAGCAAATGACCCTGTTTTCTAGACACATACCTGACATTGTTCCAAAACCGTATTTATAAACCTTTCACTCTCCTTAAAGCTGTGTCACATGCACTGTGTCCTTCAATTGTTAAAAAATCTTGACCCTCTACTAGTAATTGATTTCATTAATGAATTGTCCATTGCATTACTTCATAATTTGCCTATACATTATAAATATATAGTCAGATCAGACATTAGCCTTCTTGCGGTTGCAAGTTATTAGATTCTGAAAAATACACAATTATCAATTGCTGACTCAATTTGGTATCGTTGTTTTCCTTATTGAAGAAATAAGTAGAAAGTAAATCCTCATGCTAAACCCCCAGGGGAGGACATTGTAGCCGATTCATATGCTATGGAGCTCACCTTTCCGGTGTCTAAATACTTGTATCTATGTTGACCTTAGATAACAGGAAGATAAAGGTGGAGAGTGACCCCCATATGAAGAACCAACTGTCGATGACCATAGAGGGGGAGAGAGAGAGAGAGAGAGGATCTTCATATTGTTGGTTATTTGGCTATGAAACAGAGAGCGATGACAAACATGTTGTATTCTTTTATATGTGCATTAATTAATGCCTAAGAAATTCTGAAAATTAATGAATTTAGGGTTTTCAGAGGGTAAATTTTTCCCTTTAATTTCCTTTTCTTTGTGCAAATTGGTCTTTGTTAATTGATGTAATATGGGGACTGCACATTCTTGTGTTATGTAGCAAAAGTGGTAAAACCATCCAATGCTTCACAAAGGGAGAAATCAGACAGTGCTGTGAACTTGTCAAGCTCCTTTGGTGACTCTGAAAAACTTGTTGAAGAAATCTTGGAGAAGACAACATCCATAATTCTTTCTGAGGTTAGTAGGATATTTTATTCTGAAATCATTACTTTAAAAATGCTGCATACATTTATGATGATTTTGACCATGTAGGTCAAAGAGGAGAACATGGAGAAATATCGGGAACAATTGGGTACCATGGTATCAAACAGTATTAGAAAACAGCTTTCCGTGGAGTTGAAGAGCACACTCGTGAGTACCAAAATTTCCTCCATTCCAATTAACTTGAATATATTATATATTTCGTGTAGAGTATAATTTTCCTTTATGAATTTCTGAAATTGTAACCTATCGTTGACGAGAACCCGTAATTTTACTTGATGTTATGGACTATTTGTTGCAGTAGTTGCTTAATCATTGTCTCGGTGTAAAATCTGAATTTGTGCTCTTGAAAGTTATTAGTCACGAAGGACTACATCAATTAGACAATTAGGGTGTTTCATGTTTGTAACGTTCCCTTTTCCTTATTTTCACGTCAACTGCTGATCACAATCCACAGTAATAATTTGATAATTTCTTGTGTGCATTTTGATTTAGAACTGACCTTTAATTTCACTATCCTCCTCAAAAGCTTGGTCTGTTGTCTCATGTATCATTTAAAATTCAATATATCAGTGTATTCATTAAAGTTGGTCTTTACATTGCAGTCAATGTTCAAGAACACATCATATACAGAAGGCTTCTACGCTGGGACTCAACATCAGCCCAAAAGAATGTGAAACTATCAGCATTGACCGTGACAGATATATAAACACTGAGAGAGAAGAGTTGTTTGATCGACCGTATGAATTATGTCTAAAATTGATTACACTTATTTTTGTTTGAAATTAGTAACCCTCTTATGAGGAATTCTTAACATTTCTTGTTGATTTAACTCTATGGTACCTGCCTTTGTAATTCTTGTCCATATGACGGTTCTTAATTGACTGCAGTTTTTGTGGATCTTCAGCTTTTAGCTTTTCTCTTCGTAGGGAATTCATACAACTGCTGATGCATTTTCGGGCTAAAGAATATGACAAGATTGCCTCCAGGAATCTGCTCATGAGAAAGGCGGATTGAACTAATTACAAATGATTATGCCATCGTTTATGTACATAAAACAGCAATTTCTAGGGAGTTGCACTGTATTTGGATAGCGTGTGATAATTAGACTATCAGAGATTTATTGCAATTATGAAATACGGTCTAATTCTACATCCTTGCATTGGATCATGCTACATAATTTTAGTATCGGATCATGAATTCAATTCTCACCATGATTAGACGTTCTCGTGCCACCACGATGTGGATGAAGAGGTCGATATCTTGATCGGAAGGGCCACATATTGCACAGCTGCCTCAGCCTCCAGCACCGCTGGTCACTACCACCCCCATGAGCATCGCTGGACGAGTCCACTGAACTTTCACATGGAACAGGGAGCTCGTGGCGGCAAACAGGGCAAGAATTGTGAAGCCTCAACCAAGGGACAATGCAATCAGAATGGTATACATGGTCGCATGGAAGCTCCCTTGCTTCCGTTCCTATTTTAAATTCTTCTTTGCAGACTGGACATTCTGAACTGGTAGCCAAGTGGGATGGCTCAATTTTGATTGTCGGAATCGCATCAATCACCGATTCTGGTGCTGGCGGCACCCCTGGCCTGTCATTTTGAGTAAGTTCTTCAATAAGTTGTTCCATTCCATGACCAACAAAGTAGTTCCCGGGATCCACCCTAGGTGGTATCAGCCTTTCCCGGGGTGAATTCTCAACACCAGCTGGGACCGGCCCGGATGGTCTCAGAAGGATCCAGGTCCGTGGACGGGCTAGAATCCCGGATTCGGGATCCCAGTCATCCCCGTTTTCATCTAGCAAATTGTTTCTTCTTCTCGGCCATAACCAACCTCCTCGGTTGGCAGGCTCAGATCCTTCCCTATGATGCCTTCTGTCAAGAACACGATTTCTTTGTCTAGAGCTTCGATCATTCCTTCTTCTGTCCATGTCAGGATTTTGCAAACCAATTGATGGATCGAATATGAGGGACAATGCTTCAAAAATTCGGGCCTCAGGGGAGGGATCAAATGCAGTGAATTCAAGAACCGGTCTAGTACTTCCCATGTCAATTTCAAGAAGGAACTGGCCGAGGCACCGTGGACATGTCACCTCCGACGGGTTGTCCGAGGCAGCACGGACTGTCCGATGACATTGGTAACACCAATAGAGCTGGTAGTTTCTGGCGCCATTGGCTGTTTCTCTTGGAGGGCTCGAAGACATGATCTTGTGAGCTTCAAAAATATCAGAACGAAGAAAATTTTCTTGTTCAATCTATCGTAAGTTTTCTGAAAAATTAAGATGAAATAGAAACATATGTAGAGAGAAACGTGAATAATTAGATTAGATATTCAAATTTGATGTTGAAGGGAAAAGAATGGCTTTTTGGAGTTGTATAAAGTCATTCTGTTTTGCTTATTGTTCATATATTTTGCTGCTTCTTTAGCAAGAAAAGTATTGATGAGGTCTTTTCCCCCTAAATATTTGAAAAAGAGTGGTTTAATATAAGTTCTCAATGTGCTAACAAGATTTTAAAGCATGGAATCTTGATCGAATCAAGTAATGGTTACTAGGGATCAAGTAATTTTCCTCAATAAGTCGAGATCAGTAAGTATCAAGTAATTAACTTGAGTTATTTCTGTTTATTCGACAACTCGGATTGCTCGGGAACTTCCCGTACAATTTTCCCATTTATCCATTCATATTTATTTCGATTTGAGGTGGAGCACATGGTGGTGCATTGGGGGCGGGTTGGAACTAATAATCCAGCCACGTCTCAGCATTGGTTAGTCGAACATTCTCCAGAATACGAGGCCCGACAAGCCATCACAAGGATTATATACATAACTGCAGGTCGACATGCTGTTGCAAGTAGCCAAAGGCGAATGCTGCTGAATGTTTTCCAACAGCATATTCTTGTGCATACTTTTGACAACATGTGAATTTAAATCATGCTACATGAACATAATGGTTGACATAATCATCGACATATAATGCCACATGGCAACCTATCATTGGACAGTTTAAAACACAGTCAACTTTTTCAACCAATCACATCTTGCCAACACTTATTTTGTCAACCATTATATCACATTTTTCGGGCAAAGTGGCATTATTCTGTGAGTTTTTTGAGATTTGATTGAGCATACACAGGATTTACCGAATGGCCTGATTTTTTTTTTTGAGATCGTTTTCAATTTTCTTGATCTCGTCTTTGCTAATACGAATACAGATTGAAAGTTCGATTTTTCTGTCATCACGAGACCTCTACTTGTAGGATTCGATCACATCTTCAAAGTCATTACGATATCTAGGCCAGATAGTCGGCTCACTTGGTTCGTTGCCCTCTCTTGGCTTGTAGAAAATCAAGCTGATTTTGACACCACGTAGAATAGATAATTCTTCACCTTTCTTCTCCAAATTCTTCCTCCTTTTCTCTTAACTTACCCTTTGTGACCTTTTGTTACTTACATGGGTCGTGCTTTTCTTCGCTCGTCCCATTAATGTCTATTGAGAAAAAAAAAAATCACTCAATAATAAAAGTAGTTAATAATAAAACCAAATCGAATCAATTTTCGATGCTTCTATAAAACAAGAACAAAAACGATTAAACTTCAAAATATTGTCCAGTCAGAAATATCGAAAAAGTTCTCATCGTCGAGAACGAAGTACCCTAAATTTATATTCAATTATTGTTGATTTATTAGAAAATGATAATTACTAAAGTGGAATGATGGGGCGTGGATGCAAGTAGTCTACGTGGCTATACTATATCAAGTAGTCGAGGGCCTTTTCTACTTTGAAATTGCTTACGAATTATATTCGAAATAAATAAAAAATTGTATAATTGATTTCTGATTTTGTAACATTGATAAATTAGGTAGGCATATTAATGAAAAAGATTTGGTCAATGTGTTGGGTTGTACGTAGCATGAAAAAATAGTTTAGCCATTGGTTTAGTCCATCGCATGGTTGTGCAGAGGAAGACATTGCCATTAATGTTTGTTACGAAATTGCAAGTACTTTCGACATCATGTAATAAACTTAAATTTTCTTGATTTTGCCACTTCTTATCCCGTCTAACATGCAAAAGTCGTGATAATAAGTATTGTCCATCCGAGACGAGTTCATGTAACATAGCATTTGAAATACACGCGATCTTTGATGTACGCATACATGCATTTGATACGTAGAATGATAGAAAATGATAATACATAGGCATTTCTTAATCCTGAACATTTATATTTAGATCATCGACCAAGTTTTGTAACTATCTTCTAAAATTTTAAAATGTTATACTATAATTTAAATTAGGTCTTCAACACGTGACATTAGTTGCAAGCCGAATTCTGAAAGTTTTGATGCAATTTTATAAATGGGCGACGATACTTGAAACCACTCCTTTTTGCCAATTCTAATATCATATTAATCAAAACGTCTAAACGTTCAAATTATTAAAGAGAGAACATGTATATTTATTTGAAAATTCAATTTTACAAAAGATGTCGTTTTCATCCAAGTCGATCGAGTCAATTAACAATGTAATATAGCTTTGAAAATACACATGATATGACTTAATGGATTAGTTGAGAATCAAAGTATCCTTGGAGCCTAAGGCAAAATGTGGGAAGTCAAATTGGGTATAGATTCACATCCTTTTCTATATGTATACATAGAGGGAAGAAAATTGGAAGGCAATTTTTGACAATCCATTAGTTAATCTCACTTTATTAGACCTACATTTGCATTCAAGTCAAAAAAGGGGGCTGGATTAGGTGACTTAACGTGGTCCACAATTACTCACAATGTACCAAACTAATTTGTATAAAAACTATTTTCAAGTTTATTTGAAGATGTCTTAAAGTTTGTGTATTGCAAGTCTATGGTTGGTTGATTGAATTAAACCTCTGAACATTTCAAAATTAAGTCCATGTTTGAGTCACATTATTTTTTTCATTCCCATTCTTCTACTTATTTTCAACAACACATTTTCAATAAAATAATATTTTTCATCACATAAATAACTTGTTTTTATTTTTCAACCACATTTTCCCCATCACATCAACGGTAAAATTGCATTCTTACTTCCAAGATGTGCACCAAACATGAGCTAAGATAACAATTTTGACTAAGGATCATGACTTTTGAGAAGTAAAAACGAGGTATTGAAACTCAAAAGCTGATTTTGCACTCGTTTGACTAATTTTATGAAAGTATTTCTTCTAGAAGAGTTTTTAGATAAAATTGATCCAATGTTGTTTCTTCTAAAAGTACTTCTGAGATAGGAAGTTCCTTTAGAAATTAATTTTCAAACAAGAATTAAAGTATTTTTCTCAGAAAACCCTTCTACGGAAAGTAAAAGCAATAGTAATGTCAAATGGGTCCTAACAATTGCATAGGTTTCTTTGATATGGTATACATGTTGAATTGGAAAGAATAATTTTTGTAAAGGGATTTTATATCGATAAGTAGTGAAGTTGTTATTTTGTAGAGACACAACTTTAGTTCACACTATTGACAAGAATGTCTTTACAAGATTTCGATATTGATTATAAGAGTATGAGTTATATCTCAAATGACAAAAATAAAACCTACATGCATGTTCTTCTGCATTCATTTCTCAAATTAACATTGAGTGAAAATACAGATATTAGGTAGTGGAAAAATTGTCTCTTATTCTATAAAATGACTTCAATGGCATTCAATAAGTTCACCAACTTGAGGAGACAAGACCTAAAACATGTACTTTGTATTAGAGGTGAAAAGAACAGAGTTGATGTGAAATTTCATCACACACACACATATATAGTCGTAGAGATTTTTTTTGAAATAATTTTTTTGAAAACTGAATTTTTTAAAGAATGTGTGGTTGAGTAGAAGAAAAATGTTATGGATTCACATGTAATATTCTTTCAAAGAGAGAATGTGTAGTTAAAAATGAATTTAAGGAAAATGAGTTTTGAAAAATAGGGGCCAAACATGGTTAAATTTAGTCGACGAAAATTTTCAAATAAATTATGATTCATCATTCAAACGATATAGTATATACCATTGATTTTATTTATGAAGATAAAATTCAATTATCCTTATTTTCGATACACATATATGTACATGTGAAATATTATCGATATTCAAAGCTATTAATTTGCTAGAGTAGGGTTTTTATCAATGATCACTAGACATTTCTCTTTTATATGTGAAAATTGGAGCCACATTTTCATAAACTACTATTCAATATTGGCCCCCAAATGTTCTCAAAGACATTTCGAAATAAAGTGTGCGATTATTTGTTGTGCTTGTTAGGAAATTATGATTACTTTTGAGTGGCACGGTAAGAAAGCAGTTTTTAAGTCAAGTTGTTCAAGTTTTCAATCAAAATGTGCAACTAATGCAAACATGCCCCTAATAGTGGTGTACTTAACAATTTGTGAAAAAATCTCGTTATAATCAACCCTCATTCTGTGTGTACCCTTTGACCACTAACCTAACTTTAAATCTTAAGAGTTTAGATGTGCTAGTATCCTCCTTAACCTTAAAAACCCACTTACAAGTATCAAGTATGAAATTAAGCAAAATTTTAGCCTTGTAGGTCTCAAACACTGACTCTTCACAGTTAACAATATCTTGAACAAGTTTGTTAAAAATGTCTAAATTGTTCTCTTTACTGTTTTCAGACCATTTTTAGTTTTCAATTTTCGAAAATACTAAAAACACTTTTACTTACCTATTTTCATAAATGAATTTTCAAAAACCAGTTTAAAATTTACAAAGAAAATAAAAAATAGCCAAAAAACGTCGTTTTGGTTGTTTAAACGGCCAGATTTTGCCAATAGTGGGATAGCTTAGTCGGGAGAGTCACAAATTTTCTGAAGGTCACGAGTTTGATTCTGTTTCACCGCAATTCAATACAAATGATTTTTTTTTTATATGCACAATACCAAAACTCTTCAGGCAGCATGGAGAGAAGTCTCCGCGCTTTGCTGGGTGAACTTCCGTGGCGGAGTGCACACGGAGATCTCAGCGCTGTGCAAAGAAAAGTCTCCGCGCGTGTGCAGAGAGCAATCTCTGCGCTGCACGGACAAAGCCGCTGCAGTTGAGGCATGCTTCATTTCCAGGATACTGAAGTTATAAAAAGAGATTCTAAAAATTTCAAAGTAAACGTGTTTTCCAATTTTCTGTTTTGAGAAACAGTTTTCCAAAATGACAAAAAGAATATATTTTCA